AGTAGTAGTAGTAGTAGTAGTAGTAGTAGTAGTAGTAGTAGTAGTAGTAGTAGTAGTAGTAGTAGTAGCATTTTAGAAATGTAGGCAAGGATATCATGTTTTAGTTGCTAAGAGAAACCTTGGAGAGCTACCACAATCGGCCCCTTCTGCATCATCTCCTGGACATTTTTATACGCCAACACCGGAAGCCGATAAGATGATGAAAATTTTTCCTACACTTAATTGCTAAAGACTGTAAAAAGACAAGATACCAGGTCGAAGGTAGTTGAAGCCTTTAAAAGACAAATTGACGAGCAAGCCTTACGCAGTGAACCAGGGCGACAGCTCCGAGACAGCGGCCAACTGGTGCCGTAGGCCTAACCATTGGCGTAGACGATGTCTCCGAGTCACCGAGAGGCACTGGCTGGCAGCAAACCATTTCTGCGGGTAGGTTGCGCCCTGTCGCTTCATGGCCACAGCCGCTTCGGCCAAGCTGATGCTGGACGTCGAGTGGCCTGTCGGAGTGAGGCAGTGTTGCGATCGAGAAGAGGGATTTTGGTGTTTTGTGCGGCCCGAAGATGGTCGAGAGTGCTGGGGTCTCACTTTGGGGCTGGGTTAAATGAAAGTGGGGCGTTAGCCGCTTTGAAAGAGTGTATACAGCAAAATTTCACATTGTGCCATTTTTGGACGATAAAATGTCCATATGCTAAAACTTGTCTAAAAATGCCATCCCAATTCAGTTGGTAGTGTTCGCCAAGCACCCAGCCATTTGTCCAAATTGAGCATGCCTACACTAAGCCGGCTAAACTCATCTGCAAATCACTGACATCTGGAATGAGGCAACACGAGTACACGCACATTAATACGAAACTATGCTCTGGAAGTCGCCTGAATTTGGAGAAGTAATGCGATTTTCAAGAGCATCAAAAATAAATAATTTTAAGGCAAGTCAAAAAATCAAGAAATGTATCCATTTCTGTGGTTTGTTTTAATCGCCGATTAAGTTGCCATCTTTGCATGAATTAAGAGAACGCGGGTATCGGTGCATCTCCTGAGATAGCATTGTTGTAAATATTTTACTTTCATATCAAAGATTTCGCATGATGAAGAGATTTGCAGTTAAATCTCACCAGAAAGCGATGGCTGATTTTGGTTGTTCTGCAGCCGTTTGGTTTTAATACGATGTTCACATTGACAGTCTCCATCGTTTTGTGTGAAAACGGGCCCAGTTTTCGTTCGTCATATAACGAACATTGTCAAGGCTGGAACTCATTCTGGCAAAACCCTCAAGTTACCGCTAAGTCAAGAAGACTGGCCGACTCTTGAAAGTCATATTTACTGGTAGTCACGAAAACAATAATTAATTCGAAAAAAAAGATTTTTGACACGCTGTATCTATCATCTCAGCTTTTTCCTAGGCTTTCGAAGGAGATAAGCATGATTGGCCATGACTTTGATTCTGCGAAAGAAATGAAATATGAGTATATAGAAAATAAGAATGTTTCGAAAAACTAGCCTCAAACTGAGGTAAAATTCCAGAGATTACTTCGAAACTTGGTTATTCGGTTTATAATAATACCGTCGAATGTAGGGACAAATGAAAGTATTCTTTATCCGTAATAATGCTAAAAAATGTGAATTTGTCGAGGCCTGGCTTTGCCCATGACCCAATGAAACTCGTTGTTGTATGAAATGTTGCCATTTTGCGCATATCACTCAGCTTCAAGCCCTGATTGGATTGATGAAGAAATCCAGGAAAGGTCAGAAGTACAGTCCATCCTGGGTAGAAAAACCTTCTGGAAACAAAGCCATGACTTTATCCAATGACATGGGGATGACTATTCAGTTTATTGTGTGATTTCAATTATCAGTCTCACCTCGTCTTACACGACCCGAAAGAAAGCTCCCGTTCAAAGGATCTTAGGACTATTTCAGTTTAAAGTGGTTTGGCTTCGTTTACCCAATTTGCTAGTGTTGTCAAATGAGCCTGCATTGTCCGTGCGAAGTCCTCTGCCATAGCATTTCTGACAATTTTAAGCTTACATTGTGAACTTTGTACTTAGGGTAGTAACAAGTCTACGCTCCACAGCTATAAAGTAGCAAGACTACTATGACAGAAAGTGTCAGGGACAGTTAATGTCATCTAGGTAGACCTGACAACACCCTTTCTAAGTTATAAAAATATCGTAAAACCCATTTTATACATCAAAACTTTTGTACATCAAACAAAATATAGGCTACGCCATCTTGGTCGTATATTTGCCTTAATTAAACTAGATTGCAATAAAGCACTATATTTTGATTATTCCAAATAAAATTTAACTATTTCAAAATGCTGTAGATTTCTAAGACGTTTGATTGTAGGCATTTGCCTGATTTCCGGTCAAATAGTGAATGTTTATGCAGGCTTAAATTGGTAAGTTACATTAATAAACAGATAAAAAGTTGACATATTCTTTAATTTTTATTAAGCTTGTTCAGTGCTACTAAACCTTTTATATTACTTAATAGGTTATAATCTCTTCGAATTGTACGAATGTGAGTATTTTTACATTTTCAAGGCGCGAATTGCTCGTATGAAGCGCAACTCGCTTGAGCATAAATGGCTATTTAAATTTAACACGCAAATGCTAGACCATGAAAAAAGTGAAAACTGCCTATTCGCGTTAGATTATCCCAAACGCCCGGAAAATTGTCTGCAGTTGGATGGGAAGATTTCACAATGTGAGATTTCACAATCTTATCGTGAGCAAGAGTCATTGTCACCCTGGGTTGTATAAGGAGAAAATCATAAGTGTAGGCCTCAGGTTTCAATTGAAGTTCACATGGCCTTGCTTCCCAAAAGGTAATTTTATCCAAAAAGCAGTGGACTACAGTTTTGACCTCGACTAGTTCTTGTCCGTTGCCCCAGCAACCTAGACGAGGCCTAAACTACCGTCCCGTATGGAGGAGAATACCCTTTGGGAAGCGAAGCAATGTGAAATTCAATGGAAAATTAAGAACTACTCATTTTTTGTGGGAAAATTCAACAATTTGCCACTCCTCACCTTATGTGATCTA